GGATCATCATGGCCTCCTAACAATCCCCATATCTACTGATTGGCTTCATCACTCTGTCTCCTCTCCACCAATAAGCTGTTGTGTGGTGGGCGTTCTGGCGCAATATGGCTGCCATCGCATTATCCAGGTGGATGCTGCACATTGGTGTTGTTTGGGGAGATTGCCCCCTTCCACGTAAAGTGCTTTGAGTACCCAGAACGAATTATTATTATTATCATCTGTAAATGTTAAAAAGTCACTAGTATTTCAATTTTGCATAAAATCGTCCCTGACAGCAAGCGAGTCTCCATTAACCTTCACAGACATCAGTGAACGAGCCAAACAAGCTAGTGGGTGTATTAAATTAGGTGTATCAACAGGATGCAGGGTAGAGAATAGGGGTGTAAGAGTTCAGATTGCTCATGGTTCAGGTCACGGTTAGGGTCACGGTTTGATATGGTTCAGTTCGGTATGTGCTATGTTCAGGGATGGTCAAATAAAAATAAAGAAAATAATAATAAATAATTAAACTAAATGCAACAGCGCAAATAAATACAATAGAGCAAAGATAACAGTAATTTTCAGGCACAGAAATTTTAAAGTAAACGAATGTACAATAACAGTGCATATTTCACTGTATAAATTGAAGACCAATCCTGGTTGAAGTTACAAAAGCTATTCAATCAAGAGAAGGGAGTAATTTCCTTGTCTTTTGTTGTTTAACATTAAAAACACAGACAGCAGGAATAGACTGCTGTTCTTTTAAGACATAATTCACAGATCCAGTATGCTTATACTGATACGCATGTGTTGTCTTTCTCGACTGTTTACGTTCAACCAGAACCGTTTCTAGGCATAGGCATAGGGCGCCACCAGCAGGAGGGGCATCAATGAGCGCACATTCTGGCACAATACATTTTACCAGGGTTGTGATAAAGAGTGTCACGGCCAACCTGAAATATGATTGCCGCCCCCACTGGATCCCCCAACATCATTGGGCTAGAGTACTGTCAATTTGACGATGCCTGTATGCCATTGGATCAGAGCGCTGTCAATTGCTGCCTGATTGTTGCATGCAAAGTTTGCATTTGGAG